CCCATCCAATCTCATCTCATCTCGTAACGAGTGAAAGTGTCAAGACCGAGTCCAGGCCTGTAACCGTACATCGTGTTGTGAGAAGAAGAATCTTTCTCAATCACTCAAAGCCAGAGCCCAATCTATTCCCTCGGCTGAACTTGGTTCAGGTGAGTGACAAGTCTCGACGAAGCCCATAGATGAATATTACCTGGCCACATCGGATACGGGCGAATTCAAGCTCATGAATTTTATGTTGCTCTATTTTATGTTCCGTTCGGATCGACATTTCTGAGAAGTGTTTCGATAGAATCAGCGGACTTCAGGTCACTAGGTCTGGGGTGGGGTCCGACACGAACTATCGATATCTAATTAATTCTTCGGTCATCACCTGCACCATGCGCCAAATGTTTACTAAGTACTCGAGCGTGGATGTCGAAACGGATTCGGGCTTCCATTTCGGGAGGGACGAACCGCAGTAAGCAAATGTCGGGGAAGACAGCGAGATTCATAGCCGAACAGAATTTCAATGTTACATGAGGAGCAAAAGATTCCGGACCCCGTTGCCCTTGCAGCGAACGATATCTCCTTTGCAAACTACAGCTTCTAAACAGGTCCCAATTTGGAAAGCAACCTTTGTTTCGAGACGAGAGTGAAGCCTCGTCCATTTCGTCCGATGGCCCAACATTCTGGTGGCCCATCGAATGTACCGGTCGACTCAGAGTGTAAACCTCTGCCAGCTTTGGTCTCGACGATGTAAATCCCAGCACTAGGCTGAAAGTGAGCTGAGGTGGTAAGTCGCCACACTACGTCGTGCATCCGTCCAAACTTTTGTTGATCGCACTTCGCTTGTCGCTAGCCACTGCTGGACATGTACTGCGCTGGGTTTGGGTGTATTTCGTGAACCGCACTCGACCTCCAAAAACTCCAACTCAGTCTTTAGTGCAGTGCAGCTCTGTAACATTCTGTGGCGCCCTTGATGGATTTGGCCCGTTGACGTCGGCCATGCTTGACTTGTCGTTCCAGTACAAAGCAGTACAGTCGACTGTCTCTAGGCGCACCACCTGCAACCTTGAGAGTAGCCTCGCTTTTTGCACTCGTTGAGGTTTTGCGTTTCTCTGAGACTCCTGGAACTGCAATTGACCTCGAATCTGCACTCACCTGATTTCTCTGAACCCCTCTCTTATCACAACTAGCCCCTCAACACTCGCGCTTACAAAATGTTAACCAGGGTTAATGATCACTCTTTACACGTGCCAGTGAATGCTCTTGTACTTATATAAGATCTGGTCGGTATTAACCTCAGTAAGCTGCAGTTAAAAGAAAATTGCAATTTTTCATTTACGCTCTAATTTTCCAGATACTATTTGCACCTATCGAGAGGAAACGAAACAGCATGCGGCAGTTAAACACGAAGGTACTGGAGGGGAGAGTCGACTGAATTTTATGAGACTCGGGGAACTTTGATACGTCAGTTGTGTCCAGCGAACAATCAAGTACTGTCCTGGACATCACGAAATACTGAAGTGCCAGGGAGTTTTTTTTCCCCTCATGCTCGGACAGCAAAAGTGACGTACAAAGCTACACGCCAATTATAACTCAAATTAAGAGCTCCAAAATCTGGCATGCCCACTTATATTTTGAAGTTGACATGCTCAACATTGAAGGAAAACGACACGGGCGAGGAGACTTTGGGAGCGAGAAACGGAACGGGGTTCACCGGACTTGATCAGGAACGAGCCTTGGCACTACTGGCCAAGTGGAACACTCTATTCAGGAGCAAAGGCACTGCTAAATCCAAACTGCGGTTTGTCATTGCGAGCGGGTAGTTGGTGTAGGTAGCTAGAGTTTATGACTGTATTCACTGATTAGGTGACAAACAAAGCAAAGCACTTGGGATCGACCATTTTCGAGTGACATGCTCTCTCTCTCTCTCAAGGGAATGGAGAGAGCTCTCAACCGGAATCTCGTCCTTCGATGTCCTATTAAGGATACTTTAAAGAACTTGGCGTCTCGTCGTTCTGACCGATCTTATTACAAGTAACGCCGTGCAACTGTTAGCTGTTCTTTTGAAACAATCTGTCGAGAACGACAAACGCGAGCATGGCGACAAGTCACACGTCCGCCAAGACAAAAGGTCCCGTGATGACGAAAGGGGTAAGAGAATCCAAAAAATATAGTAGTGCCGAGGGGGTCCGGTCACCTACTCTCCGAAGTGGGCTTAGGCCCGGGCTCAGGCTCAGACTCAGACTCAGGCAGCAGCAGCAGCAGCAGCAGTAGCAGAATTAGTGATGGTCAGGGTCGGACCGACTGAGCCAGCCACTGCCGAGAGGCGGGGAGGTGAGACTTTGGGTTAGATCAGGCTCGGAGGGTGAGGGTGAGGGTGAGGGTGCATGCGGTCTCATTTTAATCCCCTGGCCTGACGGACTGACGGACGGACTGACTGGCCTGGGCGGGATTTGAACAAGGGTTGCCCTGCGAATGCCATGGCCTGCGCCAACGGCGTGAGATGTTCATCGTGTTTTTCATCATCTCGTATCTTTTGCAACGTCGACTCGGGGACCTTTTCCACTGAAGCCTGCGAGTCGCCTAGGGCGCCAGCTGACAAAGCATCTTCTTGGCTTGGCCTGGCTTGGCTTGGCTTGTGCACATATCACTCACGCAACTGCATGTATAGCAGCAGCTCGGGAAGAACCTCACACAGGTGTGGTCCGTTTGTTTGAAGGGGGGCTCTCGGGGCCTGGGGCTCGCAGATACGGCCAAGGCGCGCCAGTCAAGCCTCTTTCATAAGGTGTCGAATCACGGGGATCGCGCTTCGACCGGAATGTTCAATAAAGCAGACGAGCACACATTAAAGCAGGCTGTAATTTGTACTTCGAATCAAACTCTCGTGGTCTGACTGATTGACCGACCTTCGCCACGTCTCTCTTATGCAGGCAGGCCGTCTCCGCAGCATCTATCCGCTTGCCTTGCACATAAACACTTGGACCACACTGATACCTTCCAAGCCTTCGAGCCTAGCGATTCGTTCTTGTCCTGCTCCGGTCCCGGCTCCCGTAGCTAGCTCGCTAGCTCACTCTCGGTCAGTCACCATCTCCATCAAGCCCAGCAGTCTGAGCCAGTCTGAGCGCCCGTGTCGTGACTCGCCTTTCCTCCCCCACTCTATCTTTCGCCTCTTCCTTCCAGCCTTGACTTTGTTCTGCTTGTGGCACGCACTGTTGCGCTTTGTCCATGAATCTGATTCGCTCCGCATCAGGCCATCGTACACCTTTAGGTTAGAAGAGCCAGAACTAGTTGACACCCAATAATTCATGCGTCCAGGCCCCAGCCAGACCAGACCAGACCAGCCCAGACCCGAGCAGCATAGTAAGGTAAGCAGGCTTTCCGAGGTCTTTTATCGCAAACCCGACTGCTGAATGCGACTTACAGTCTATCTAATCTTCGTCAGCAGCCGAAACGAAGCCGACAGACGACACGCCTTGACTACCGATCACCATGAATTTCAGGCAAATCAGCTCGAGGTGCGCATGAAGCTAGAAACAACGGAACGACAAATTTGCCGAAACTATTAATTAGTTCACTTCTCCTCTTGTCAGAAAGCCCCACTGGCCCCGCCCTGCCCTGCCCTGCCCTGCCCTGCCCGTGAACGTCCCGTACATGCAGCAGCAGCAATCTCGTGAAGCATATGTTCCTCAGCGGATTGCCCAACACGATCGATCATATTTCCAGTGTCAAGTTGCAGATCGATCGATCTCTCGAGTGAGTGAGAGTTCAGAGTGAGAGAGCGGACGAATAGAAGGTTCGGAACAGGTTGAATGCTGCTGGTTGACGGGGTGCAGCAGGTCGAGGACGACCGGGAACGGGCCAGATGACGGGCGGAGGGAACCGTGTCGGCCACGGAGAACCGGTCACCAGAAGAAGAAGAGCGACGGCCCGCCCCCCCCCCCCCCCCCCCCCCCTGACATGAATCTGAATCGGGGAAGGGGAAGGGGAAGGGCGAGAGCGCGTTTGTCACGTGGCCCGCTTCGAAATGTCGGTCACTCAAACTTCTTCGATTGCTGCTGCGGCCGATGCATCCTTACCTGACCGAGCCTCGCGACAAACCTCCATCAAGAGTGTCGTTTTCGATGCCATCCCAGCGGCTGAAGGTTCCGAAAAACACCCCCCCAAGCTTTCCGTATTCCTAGCACCCATCATGCGTCACTGCGCTTGTCGCCATCGCACAAACCCAAATCGCTCGCCAAACTGATTGCTCAAGATACCTCTGTGCTTTGCTTGCTTGAGCCAGACTTACCCTTCCCGAGTCCCACAGACCGTAGCCTGTGGTGAACCTACATGCAGTCCCTGGCAGTAGCCGACACCATCTAACAGGAAATCTATAGCCACGATCACGAGCCCGCCCGCCCCATGCCCATAACTGTAGGCGAGCCTCCCCCTTCCGCCTTCGCCCTTCCCCATTCGCCTGGCGTACTCGGCGTACTCAGCGAGAGCAAACAAAACAGTCCCTAATCCTCGTCGTCTGATTTCTAGCGAGGCCTCCGGACTGGGCACTGAGCAGCCAAAGCCAACTTTAGCAGCAGCCATGGTTGCAAGGCCCATGGTTGGTTGTCCACTACTGTACCTCGCTGGATATGAGGGCGTTCCGAAGCCTCGTTTAGCGCTCGGCAGGACAGCTCAACGATCTCTCTCCGAGCTGCAGAGTTGGAATTCGACCCACGGGGCCTGTTCTTACCTTCGTCATTCGACGATCACCGCCTTCGCTTCGCTTCGCAAGCCAAGCCAAGCCAAGCCAAGCAAGCAAGAAGAGGAGGTGTCGTCCTGCGAGCACACGTCCCGAGATAGGCACGGAACAAAATTCGGCAGAGAGGCAGAGGATTGAGCCTCGTCCTCTCACTGTTCATCAGATTCGTCGTGATACGAATACAAATTTGAACCGCAAGAGGCAAATGAATCGATTCACAGGATTCACAACGAAACAAGCAACATATCACACAGCAGGCATGAGAAGAAGCCTCGCATGTACGAAAGCCAGTGCATGGATTTCAATTGAACGGTTTTACATCACATGTTTGTTTGTGGGTGACTTTATTCCGCTTGGCGGTTCTAAAGAAGTGACAATGGGTGCGCATGATCAACATTGCACGAGGCAGTGTCAGTGTCGGTGTCATGTACTCGGGGACTGGCCTCGTCGCCGCTCTTTCTTATACAACAAGGACTCTGTGAATTCATTCCTTCATCCATCCATCCATCCTGCCCTAGCGTCTGCCTGTGATATGTTCCTAATTGATCTACAATCGTCTGCGTCTATGAAATCTCAAGAATGAATGCCTGATTACAGCTCAACAAGGCAGCGGCCCCCTTGTTCGCGTAATAAGGTCCTACAGCTACAGATGCTAGACAAAACCGCTCCATAGAGGTTATGAAGCAACCACTCCCCAAAATGTGTCGGCATTCTTCTCACACCAGAATCTGTACACTCGCCATGTCCGCGCTCCCGAGTATAATGTTCGGGAACCCTCGGCACGTCAGGCTTCAGTGTGTACACAGGATCGATGCGACGCTGACCTCCACTGACATTCCCGTCTCCGTCCCCCCGGAAGGACTGGCCGCAATTGAAGTCCCTCTTGCGACTCCCCAAAGTTGCTGCTGCTGCTGCTGCGGGACAGGATTGATTCCTGCGCCCATTCGTTCGACGCATGCGCTTCGCAAGTGTACGACCGAGAAAACTCCTCTTCCACCTGGATCAGCGCTGGTCGAGAATTTCAGCCAACGATGGCGCCGGGAAGAAAGAAACCAGCTTCAATGCCTGAAATCAAGAAAGCCCAGCACCGCCGGGCTTTCTTTCGGCATTGCGGAGTTCCCGTCCGAAGAAGCCATTGGCGAGAATCCGAGAATCGGAATTTGAAGCTTGCTCGTCGTCATGGTCACCGTACATTCGATGCGGGTTGTTGTTGTTGCCCGAGCCCGAGCATGCGGTGGGCTCCAATCGACAGATTTGCCGACGGCTTGCAAAGAAACTTCATCGACGACGGGGTCATGTGACGACGGCCCAGTCTCTCGTAACAATCGATGGAAAAGAGCGACAGCGACAGATGCACTTCGTCTTTGCTCCATTCGCGCTCGCCGCTCTCCTCTGCGCCCTTCAAGGACGACGGCAGAGCCTGCGGTTGCGGCCGCCCCCTCGCCAGCAGCGGCCGCAGGCACAGCACGTACAGCCGGCGAAACCCTCCCAGCGCCAGGACGACCGAGCGCAGCTGCTTTTGCCGAGCGACGGGCGATGGCCAGTGCTGAATGCACACATTCTCCCACAAACTCTCATCCTCCGCAACTTTGCGCCACTGCTTCGAAACGCAGGTGGCCGTGGCTAGAGATTTGGCGTCCAGATGCTTCATGACCTCGTAAATAATATCATCATTGCTGTCCATTTGAAGGGTCGTCACCACTTTTTGCCTCTTGGCTCCTTCCCTCGCTATCCACCTCGTTTCCTGATGATGATGCCCGTCCACCAATTGGCATTCGAAAATTGACACCATTTTCTGCCCGACGACCCTGTTCTCGATCCTCTGCTCTGCTCTGCTGTGCCACCAATTAAAATGCGTGCTCCTTCTCTGCAGTCCCTACGACAAACCACCTGCTTCGCAAGGTCTCCCGAATCGAGCCGCAATAACGAAGCGTGGCGAGAATGGACCTCTCCCGACGGCACCTCCGGCTCTCATTCACTCGCTCGCTCGCGATTCGCAGGCAGACGATGACGATGATGATGAGCAGAAGGATGATCGCGCAAGAGTGGTGGTGGTGGAGGAGGAGGAGGCGCAAGAAGTCGGAGAAATGACAGTCGAGAACGCCAAGGGCGGGCTCCTTAAACTGGGAGTCAGCCGGAGAATTATCTTCCTTGAGAGCTTTATTTCGTTCATGGATGTTGGAGTTGAGAGCAACAACAACCACCACCACCACCGCAGGTGCGCGAGCTGACCAGTGCGTGTGATGAAGGGAATCCAATACGTGTTCAATTAGAGAGTTCGCGGAGTCGGTCAGACCTCCACAGAGCTGCAGGTCTCAGGGCTCTCAGTGGAAACTGTCTGACAATGGACTATCACCACATCCCTTCTGAGCGAGCGCGCGCGCGCGCGGGCAGCTAAGAGTGAGCCTCCAATGAGCACATCCCATGTTATGATGGAAGGAGCTGACTGACAGCAGACTCCAGCAGCAGCAGGCAAGGGCAGAGAGAGAGAGAGAGAGAGAGAGAGAGAGAGCAGCTAAAGCTCGCCTTGGTCTTTCGCGCTATGTTTCTACAACTCGTTGGGACTCGAGAGAGTGGCGAGAGGAGATGCAGCGAGTTTCACACACATCAAATAGGGGAGGAGATATTGGGAGCTATGGCCTATTTGATGAGCATGATGCCGAGGGAGGCGCGGTGGCGTAGTTCGCAGTGGGTCCGAAGCACCCGCAGCAGAGCAGAGCAGAGGTTAGGAGTACACCTTGACTGAAATGGACCAGACTTTTCTCTAACGTGGTACTACTCGGCCTCCAGGTGAGAGATCATCAAAGGGGAAAGACGCAGATTGCCAGTGTGCCAGAGGAGGAGGATTACTTCCCGATAAGACAAAGGGGGCCCATTTAAGTGAGTGAGGAGAGGAGAGGAGAGGCAAAGTAATGAGGGCTCGCTCGCCCTCTCTTGCGCTCTCGCTCACTTCCTCGAATTTCGCCACCACATCCAACCCTGTCGTTGTCCTGCTTGCGCGCACATTCTTCATGCCCTGCTCGTTTCTCAGCCCACTATTGCTCGCTCACAATATCCTCTCCCCCAGCCTTGCCTTGCCTTGCCCCGCCCCTCTGGTCTGCTCATTCGACGCGTACACCCACACGCGCCATAGCCAACCAACACGCTCGGCTCAGGTTTCGTCAGGTCCGGTCAGGGCGAGCACAGGTCCACCTCAACCTCTGCTTTGCTCTGCTCGGCTCTACTCTGCTCTGGCATAGCCAGCCGAGCTCTCGTAACAGCATCTTCCGCAGATGCTCTACGACTTCTTGCACCTTCCTTTCTACCGTCTACGGCCGTATGCCTGCACTCGATGCGTACCGTACTCGTGAGTTGCCGATCCGATGGGTTTCCTCCGTGACTGACCTCCTCCCTCGCTCTTCGGATTCTCCATCTGTACCGGACCGGATCCACATCCACATCCACATCCACTCACTGTTTTCCGTAACTGGCTACGCTTCTCTTCGGATCCCCTGTCATGTGTATCTTCCAGCACATACCACCAGCTCTGTACAGTACAGTACAGTCCAGTCCTGTGCTCGATCTGAGTTCACTTCACAGTTCGCAGTGGAGATCTGAAATATCTCCCAGACCCCGCAAGCTCGACCAAATTCTGCTGATTCTTCTGTCTTTTGTTACACGGTGTCAAGGTGCCTTCCGCAATATGCCTGATCTTTGTCCAGACAAATTTCATGGGTTCTAGGCGGGTTCTCTGGACGATCCCGACTCACCTGCCTTGCTTATGACCAGAGCAGTGTACAATTATCGTGGCGAGCGCATGGAGTAAGTGTAGGCATTCGCCATTCGGAATCTGGAGCCCGCTTACATTTGTACTTTTCTCGACTCGCAGCATGAGATCTGCAGGCGTAGGAATAAGCTCGGGTGCAGTAGGTGTTCTCTGCCTGTCTTCACGTGTAGTATATATTTGATATTGAGGAGTTTCAAGATTAATCTTCAAACAAATGTACTCTTTTCCGAAAAACGACTCTGATAGGAAAGTGCCGACAACTATCCATAACTCGGTTTGCAGTTAACCCTACTTAAAAAAAACTCAGTACTTTTATCAAACTGCACGACTGCTAAGGGACTGACAACTTGTGGTGACATCTGAACAGAAACTTGGTTTTGATATGAACCTCAAGCATTGCACCAGAAAATGCGGCCATAAAAGCTTATATTGTCTAAGGAAGCAAAATTAGAAGTCTCATAAAGATATTAGAAAGTAATAACCAGTGCATGCACTCTCTATAAAATGTCATATGTCTCACTGTCAAATCGTACTGGACCATCTTCTAGATCGCCCTACTGTGAACATTGACACTATGATTCTAATGTGTGTTACACTCAACTAAATTGACTATTTGTGGCTTAAATTCTCTACTATTCCCGCACTATGACACTCAATTGACAACTGCTGAAACTTGTCATATTTTAATTCTTATTATCGATTTCAAACCCAAACAGTGCTATCTTCACATTACACGGGCTAAGTGTGAAGGTAGATGAAAGGTTGCGACTACTTCACACCCTGCGTTGCTACTGCCTCCCCCCATGGCTATGAAAGCTTGAAACGTAGTCTTATAATAATTGCATTTCAATGACACCAACCAATCAAAATTTTCAGTTATTTAAGGTGGAATAGTGAATAGAAAAAAATAAAAATCCTGACTTCAACACTGATCAACACTGATCATTACTTCATATGATGCTTGGTCTAGAAAAATCAACAAGTGATTGAAATCCCAGAGAATCATTCAAATGATATATTTCTTTCATTAAAATTTTCTCTTATTATTTTTTCTCAATCATGAAATAGTTTCAGTTAAATTAATTTCATAGTAACAACTAAAATTTCAATAAATTTTAATTTTTCAATATCAATGGGCTTCTACTTTTGCATTTACACACACACTTATACATATAATTTTCTGACATTTCATATCCTTAGAAATAAATAGCATTCATGTAGACAATGAAAAATGGTCTAAGGAAAGAATTCCAAAGCATTGAATTGATTCTCTATGTAAATCAAATGAATTGAAGAATGTCTAACCTCTAACATCTCCCTTCAACGAACATTTGAAATTGTATATTCCAATATGTACAATTTACAATCTGTATATAAAATTGTTTTGCGTATTTGCTATCGAGCTGATTGTTTTTCGTTCAATCGATTTTACCTTTTGTACAACCTGATTTGAAAGGTTTCACTGTGACTTGTGGCATATATTAGGAACTAAACGGAGAAGGGACAAGAATTGGATGCGAATTAAGTCGAAATTCAAGCCTTGCCTTGACAGCCTCTCCAACTCTTATCGTCATTTCAAAGAGGTATGGGTTACATTGTTTAAGGGCCGGCAAAAGTGAATCCAAAACCACAATGTCATCGGCACACTATGCTGACACAAACGGCAGTTTGTCAAAGTAAATCTGGTTCAAGATGGGTGCAGTTGGCCGCGCTCGGAAAAGATTATAATATGACGTCTCCGCCTCAAAATGCCAAGTGTATCATGAACCTTAAGCAACAAATAGGTTCCCATCCATAGATACCCAAAAGCTCTGGAAATGTTTCTCAAAATCTAATTTTAATATTAAATTCTTTATCAAATGAAATGCAATGTGTGAGTAGTTTGGCCTGCAAGGTTTGAACGTGTGCGTGAGAGGAATATTGCAACGTGGTTCTGCCACGTGTTGTTATATGATTGCAAAATCACTAACATGTACAAGAGAGAGAGAGAGGAGAAGAAGAAGAAGAAGTAGTAGTAAAAGAGGTGTATCTGTACATGACGGCCCCACTTGAGCCACAAGAATAAGGAATTGGAATCGTTCTATATATATAATGGAGAACAAAGTGAAAAACTCATGTCTTCAAAGGGAGATTCTCTTGCCGAGTGAATGTTGTCATTTTATTCCCATCTGGTCTCCACTCAAGCTTTTTCTTCTGTGAGTAGTGTTACACCAGGAGTTCCGAGCTTTTCACCCGAGTCAATGAGAGAAGTGTGATCCGGAGCCCGGGCTCAAGGATTTCTCGTGATTATGGCATCACAATTCATGACCTTGTGAGCTCCACCTCCACGGGAGCATGTTCGGATTCCGAGTAGAATATGCTCCGGAATCTGGCTCGAGGGATCTTCCAACCTGGAGAATCTGGTACACTTCATGTCAAAGAGCGCTTGAACAGAGATCCGGCCCCGAGCTGGTCATGGCCAAGGTCAACCCCAGAGAGATATTCCCCAGCCAAGGTGATGCGTGAGGAGCCAACTGGGGTTAGGGACGAGAGTCAGAACTCACTCGACCTGGAGGCCGAGGAATCCTCGCAAAGCCGATGCCGAGAATGACGATGCACCAGGTGACCGGCACCTGGGGTTAGGTTTCGAACCGGAGCCATAACTCGCCCTCGAGCACAGCGGAGGGAATGTTGCGACCACAGAATCTGGATCTAGCCAATGCTGGAAAGGAAGATCCAACCCGAGTTAATGTTCGGCCCAGGCCCTGGACTCACCGTGCCGCGGAGATATTCCCTAGCCAAGGTGGTGCGGTGAGGATCCCCAAACCAGGCCACGGGGTCAGTACAGTACGCAAGCATCTGCGAGAACGTACATACGTATGATACAGTATGTGATACATCGCAAACTGTGCACCACCACCAGCACCTTCTTTATGACTCCATGCCGGGAAATGTGCACGAAATCATCACAACATGCACTAAAGCACAAGAAGAACTACTCTCTCACATGGCTCGACTTCTATGCGATTCTTGCCTGGATGCTGTTTCGGCTCTAAATTTACACCTCTAAATTAATCGAGATAGTAACTCAAACCGTCCATATAAAATGTTGAACTGGAGCAGCATCTTTATGAATCCACTACATGTTCAGAACCGTTAGGTGTATTCACATGGTTCCTATTTGTGATTCTTAACTTTCCGTTAAAGTTGGAGGTCGCGATGTAGACGCGTTTTCTGCCTTTTCGGGCTTGCTGATGGTACCGTATCTGCGCGATCGAGCCCCATGCCCATTTTCTCCCCAGTGCTGCACCAGTTACTGCACATGGTGCCAGTATATTAGTCCCGCATCCAGAATAAAGGGAATTCGTTTTATCCTCGAGCCAATAATGACCCCAAGTATTTTTCATAAAGCTCAGCCACTGAGCTAATGCCGGCGAAGTCGATGACTCCTCTTATTTCTCGGTGACAGTCGCACGTACCGGGCACTGTTTTGCAGGGTCGCCGGTATTCTCCCGGTGCTTGAGACAAAGTACCGGATTATCCTAAGAAGAGCTAATGCCGGTTGCCTTCCGTGAAATCAACATTCTCGTCGGTAGACGATCTTCCGATGCTTGCCGGGACTACGCTGACTATGCTATTGCACAATGCGATTCGTTATGCGTCTATGTCCGTGTCCTCCCGTGCTCTTCACTCCCGGGCATATTTTCTAGAGCTTCGCTAGAGGTCGAGAAATGCCCATCGTCGGCCAGCTTGCGTCGAATCACAAATGATTCTATGGTCGCTTCTAATCGGCCTCCGACCTTTGCCTCTTGAGTATGGGGTTCGCATTCATTGAGTTTGGATTTCATGTGACTGGCGGCCGAACAAAGAATGAAATGAAATGATGGGACGACCCATCAAGCATCACAAGGAATGTAAAAGTCTAAACTCGTGCTCAGATACTGAAGAGTTTCACAATGGGAAATATCTCCCTACACCTCTATAATATCAATATTATCTCTGTCAAGTTGTCTACACTGTCCAATCATTTAACGTGATA